CTGCGCAGAGTTTTTAAGTGTAGGTAAATTCGGTCTTCTTCTTTTATTTTTTTATTTATTAATATTTTCGTAAATTAAAATTTGAATTATATTTTTATTATAGTCTGATATAAAAAATATTTTTTTGATTTTATATTATATTTAAGATACAGAAAAATTGTACAGTTGAGTTGTGGGTGTGATTATTGTCACCATAGAATATATTAAGGTCACTTGTTTTTTAATTTTTTACTTAAATAATATCTAAAAATATTAATTTATTGATTAATTTAAATTTATTAACCAATAAATATTAATTGTTATATTAATTATTGGTGAATAATTTCATTATTAATTATTTTTATTAATTAAATTAAATAAAATTAGTGTTTTTAAAGATAATATCTTATAAATTTTGATTATCTTAACATTTTAAGTGATGATTATAACTCTGTTGGTAAGTTGTGTTGAAATTTGTGGATTAGAAAATAAATCATTGATTTTAAGACATGTTGCAAATATCACTTTTTTATATGCTAGTTTTGCTGCCAAAATTTTAGTATGCTAAGAGGTTAGTTAAAAATGTTTGTAGGATACAATGAAATTCTATTGGTTATACCTTATATTAATGAAACAAATCACTTAAATCTCACTTATTCAAGCAACAAAACTATCACTATTATAGAAGGATCTTTGTAATAATTATTGCATAAAAAATTACTATTTTGTTTTGATAACAACAAGCATGTTGCACATATTTTCCTTATTGTAATATGCTATTCTTCATGCAGGGGTCTTCTTTTTTCTATATAAAGAGGATAAAGACAATCTTTTTCTAAATTATAGATATTTCTTAAAAACAAATACTTTTTAAAGTTGTTCAAAAAAAAAAATACTTTTTAAAGTGTATATTTATTTTCAATTTAAATGAAAGAGTTTTATTATAAAAAAATACTTTTCATTTATAACTTTTCTCAATCATTGTCTTTTTTCTTTTTTAATTTTGAAAATTTCTCTGGCATTGTTATTTAGGACAAGTTATCATTTATTATATCCCAATTTGTAGCATAATGTAAATTGTTTCTTACTCATGAATCAAAATAATTATGACTATCTATAAAAATATTAAGATTATTAAAATTATAAAA